AGGGAGGCGGCCCTGAAAGGCCCAGACGATGGAGATTTCCACAAGGCCATGGAGGAGAAGCATAGCAATTCCCTAACCCCTTAAAAGCACTCAGATTGCCGCCAACACACTCGTCTCTCCCAGATTTGCTCCCCTTCCTTACCAAAAGGCACCAAATCACTGGAAGACAGGAGGATATTTGGACACCACATGGCACCGATCCATGGCCTTCCTGCAAAAACTGCTTTGTCTGTTCAAGCCCAAGAATAGCTTAAGCACCGCAACACAGAGCCACTCCACACCACAGTTCTCTGGACAAATTTTCCATCACATCCAACATAAACAGGATTTGATGCAAAGGCAAAGCACTCAGCATCTCTTCATCCACCATTGAGTAACCCATACCACATCATGCACCCAAATGTGTTATCTTGTCTCAGAACACATTTGCTTCTGGTACAAATTAATCTTGGCTGATACTTGTTGTCATCTGTCAGCTCCACAGAGCTGCAGGAATGGGAAGTAAGGCTCAGGGACAAGAGTGAAAACCACATCTGCTGCTCAGAAAAGTTTCCCTCTGATCAAGCTTTTCAGCTGTATTCTCATGGGCAAGCACATGCTAGTAAGGGTAAAAATTGTAAAGCAAGAATAGCTTGATGTTAAGAGCCCAGATGAAGCCTTAGAGTAGCCAGTTTAATATTGTCATTCCTCATTTGCATTGTTCACCTGACTCAAAAAAAACGCCACACACGATGCCAAGTACTGCCCAGGCAGTTAATAAAAAGCATTTTTTGTTGGAGAAAGAAAACAGACCAAGAAACACCATGGTCCCATTTTACAGGTGGGAAATGGAAGTACTGAACGAGACTTGCCCAGCTTCATACATGGATTTTATGGCAGAACTCAAAATGAAACCCAGATTTCAGATCACTGTCATAAGAAATGAGATCACTGATTTTAGCTAAGCTGATAGGAATCCAAGTGTCAGTAGGAGACTGCATCTACAACACTTACTTGTGTCATGATTTTTGTAGCAGAAACAAGCACAGGTAGCAAGCAAGAAGTCCTCATAAACCTTCAAGATGTTACTGGTTGAAAATTAACCAATTAAAACTATAAAAATAATACAAATGACCAAACACTGTTAGAATATTCAGGCTGCATCTCACTTTGAATGTTCCTGCCCTCTGCTCCCAAAACAAAAAAAATTAAAACCACTAGCTGAATATCCTTTCATTATAACAAGAATTCCACAACCTAGAAGCATTAATGACATCCACAGTAAAAATGTTATTTAAAAAACACACCCTCACCTCTATTCCAGATTTCAACTTCTTTTGCAAAAATCTTTACCACAATTAATCCAGAGTATAGAAAGCAGACAGACCAGGAAGCAAATCATTCTCACAAGGTTTCCAAAAAAAACGACAACAGTTTGGAAAGCTTATTTAAATTAGACCCTAACCTTCACCAACACACTCCCAAACACACTGCTGAAAGGAACTTAAGGCAGAGCAGGTAGATGCTATGCCTGGAATCCAAATCAGAGAAAGCACCTGGACCAAAAGGAACATTTCTCCATTTACTCACATGCACTCTGAAAATAAAGAAGGCTGGGCACAGGCTTACCAGCTTTCTTCTCCTCTCATTAGGATGTGAGACTAATTAAAGCCTGTCAGTATCAGTAGAAGATTTGGGTGATGTGAAATGCAAGACTGGGCCTTTTGAATGTTCTGCGAGCAGAAACTTGGCTAGAAGGGCAAAGAGGGAGTGAGGAAAACTGCACCGAAACCACAAGTCTCTGCATTATGTATTCAAGGGATGCATGCTGCCAGCAGGACTGAGAACAAGCAGCAATGTAATGGGGAAATGGGGGGTCTCACTTTTATAGATTTTGGAAAATAAATACGTAGTCCTTTCTTTTAGTGGGTCCATCTTGTAGGCTTAAAGGGGATGTTGTTAGGTTAAAACTAGTACATCCAACCAACTAGAGGCAGTGAAATTCTTCCCTAATGAGAGGAAATTCAGAACTGAAAATAACTGTCTTTAACTTACTGCAATTTACCACAGTCAGCAGATGTCTGCAGATACTCTTTCAAGCTGACACTATACCAGTGCAAAAAGAAAAACAAATAATGAAGAGCAAGCTGAAATACTAACTCTACAGCAACACCTTCTGAAAGGGAGGCACCAGATGGGCACTGTGCAGGGCAGCCCACCCTGCCAGTACCAGCCATGCCCCATTTCCCAGCCTCTGCAGAGATGAGGCAAACTCCTAGCATTTACATGCCTCAATCCCAGGCCCCTACAAAAGTCCTGCAAAATCAAGAGAAACTGCATCTAGAGCAAACTGTAAACAGTTTGTATTTGCAAAGTGTTAAGAAGGTAAGAAGCACTGTTTTACATTGCTGTCAGACTCATAGGAGGCATAAAGAGACCTGAGCCCAAGGAGGTCAACAAGTGTAGAAGTACCTATCAAGTCTACAATCACTTTCCTCACAAAGGTATTTCTTCATACACCGTCAAGCAGTTAATTTATTTTGGAGTAAATGGTATGAGTCAGATCATGGCAGCAGGGATAACTTGACAGAAGTGAACTACAGTGATTTTGTTCCTGTGTCATGCAATGAACCAGACAGTATGGGTGCTGCCTTCCTCATGGCGATAGCAAGAGAGCAGCCCAACTGTAGCAAGAGGCACTCAAGTAGCAGCAGCTTTACCTCTCAAGAGAGGTACCTACATTTAGGCCTAGTTTATCCTAGACAGACAGCAGAAGTACCAGTTATGCCCCTGAAGACGTGATCACAAGAAGCAACCCTATGAATTTACTGAATCCTGCCTCAATAACCCTTTTCCACCTTTGCTTACACCACCCTCTCTCAAGTGATGCTGCTTTCCTCATATTAAGTTCTGCCTTACCTGCTGCATTTTCTCTAGGTCAAGGCTGGGCCTGCTGACCTTATCCCCATATCCTTGTCGATGTCTCTTACAAGGCATGACTTGCTCAAGGCCTGTCCCTACGCTTGTCAAGATTAAAGGTCTGGAGGCTGGGCTCCGCACCAGGGGCTGGAGTCTCTTGGGAGGGGAGGCACTGAACAGCACGGGGCTTGGGCTGGCATGCAGGCCTTCAGCCTGCTCTGCCACAGGCCGGAAGGACATCGCACACAAGTTCTTCACTTCTTCGTCACTGGAGGAGGTGTTGTTGCTGTCACTGTAGCAGGCAAGCCTGCTGACCTGGGACCACTTCCGCTTCTCAGCGGCAAACTCTCGGTTGATGCGTTCCAGCTCCTCTTCTGAGCTGTGACGGTCAAGGCTGGCTTGGAAGAGGGCCCGAACCTTGCAGCATTGGTTCTCCTGGTTCTGGAGCTGGTTGGTGGCCAGGGGGGTCAAGGTACAATTCCGTCTTCTCTCTGGTGGGAGGAAGAGAGAGAAGTGTCACAGCAGATCTGTGTCCCACACTCTAATAAACTAGGCTGCTTTCTCCTGACTTTTTTTTTAATCTCCTCCCAAGTAAACTTCTAAGCTGTTTTCCCACCTTTTTTTCCCCCAGAAGAAATACTCCCTGGCTGAATGCTTCCCTTTAGAAGTTTCCAGACCTTTGTTTAGATCAGACTGCCAGACATCCCCTCACAAACTGTTACCTGGAAGTCTAGTTGCAGAGCAAGAACATGGACCTGCTGCCCACCTCATCCCCAGAACACGGAGAAGACATGATCTTACAAGTGTGTTGTTAGGCACTTGCCTCTAGCTAAAAACATTAAGTCTAAGTGACCAGTTCTTGGGGCAGAGGAGGCAAGTTAGTTACATTAGTGTAGGCAGCACATCTGTGGCTCAAATAATAGAGATCTAGTTTCTGGAGGTAAAAGTCCTCTTTCTATTACAAGGCTTGTCATACAAGACAGCCTGCCTTCAGCCATAAACTGGTTACACTTTACCTGTTCGGCTGAGCTCTCTCTACGTTAAGCACGCGGAGCAGGGATTTAAATTTCGATGGGACGTGTCCTTTGGGTCAAGAATTTAACTTCTGCCTTTGCATAAGAATCCACTTGAATTTGACTAAACAACAATAAAACACAGGGCATGCACAAATGGCAGAGACTTAGCATAGTTCAACAGATGCATTTACTACAGATTTCATCCGCAGCTCTAAGCTGCTTCATACCAGGTCCAAAAACAATAGGAGAGCACCTGTCTCTCCTCTATCAAAGACCCTCAGCTGTATTCAAGAATAGGGCTGCCCAGTACCAACAGTACAGGAGGGAGCAAGCTAATCAGACCATGAGTCCAGGGGAATGAGGAAAGTGAAGGTCAAAACTCAAAATGGCAAGGAAGAGGAAACCTAGAACAAAGATGACAGGTGCACAAGCATGGAATAGCAGATAAATTTTTAGTTCCAGCTCTGCTGCTGGCCCAATTGTAGACCTTCTCTGCCCCATGCTTGCAGGATTGGGGCCTTAACATGTGGTTAACAGTATCTATCTCTGTTAAGAAAAGTGCAACTGCAGCATCTGATAATGCCAGCTTCTCCCTGTGAAGTCCCAAAGACTTCAAGGTGACTCATTTAATGCCTCTGGTTGTGGTACACCGGGGACAGAGGAGGCACTTCCAAGAGCACAAGCGAAAAGAAAAGTGGACTTCAGCTGTAGCATCCCAGGACCCTCCTATCTCATCTCTTTACCTCTGTCGATCTGAGCAAGTTCCTGGTTCTCTCCCTCAGAGTCGTCGCTGTCCTCATCACTTGGGGGGTAAGAGATCTAAGGGGGCAAGGAGAAAGAAAAGGCTTCATCGTGAACACTGAATATTGCCCTCACAAGCCCCTTCCCCCACCCTCCCCCCCTCATATTCTGCAGGCACCCACCCCACCTAACCGCACGTACCCGGCTGTAGCACCTCCCTGTACACACATCCTCATCTCTCAACCTCAAACTTCCATCGTATCCTCTTGCTTGCAGCAACTCAAAACACACAGCCTACCGCTCTTTCCTCCTTACTGCACCACCAACTCTTTCGCAAGCACAACAAGCATAGCTGCCCTTAGCTCCCCAGACACACAGCTTATAACCATCATGGCCTACAACATCCACATCACTTGGACAACTGAATCTCCAAAATGCACCGCCAAAATAAAGGCGCATCCTGTCAACAGCAATATCATCTTGCAGGGCACCCACAAATGGAAGTGGCACGTTAACTTTAGATGTCCTGTGTATGTACCCACACCTCCCCCTCAAAAGGCACGCACACAAGCCACCAAAGAACAGACTCACCTTGCTTTCCTACAGGACAACTCTGAAGAATGTAATAGAAATGAAAGAAACAGGATTTCACAGAAATGCAAACAACTTTATTCTGTCCCCACCAGCACAGAATCTTACAGTACCACTGAACACCTTTAAATGCTCCAAGAGTAATGACAATTCACATATTTTGTCTATCAGGAATTTTCAGGAACGTTTGTTCTGGGTCAGCCAATGGACTTCACCAAACCACTTGTTGTACACCCAAATACCCACTTACTCAAAACATGTTCTAACATTGAACAAACTTGGTAGTTGCCTCTTGAGAAGGGTTCAGAGATCTGAAACCAAGCTTTTATAGGTCAAATAAGAAATTCAACAGCAGTGGGATCTATGTAGAGGAAACCCTACCTACCTTGTTCCTAAAGTGACTTTTATTCTGCTGCATAGAGAATACCTGGAAGTAATTAGATCAAACCTCTGAGCTATGCAGCTTAGTACATGTCTCTGACAATGGCCAAAACCAAATTAGTCAAAAGGAAAATGCAATACTTCAAAAGCAACCTTTATAAGAGACAGTTCTAGAATAACATGATCACTGCAAGATGACCTTTATTATACCTTACGCCTTTTTATTCAGAATAACAAACATTCCCATCATTCTTAGCTAAGCCTCACAAGCTACTCGCCCACAACAGAATCCAGTGGCAATAGGTTTCAAAAGATTACATGCTATGTTGCCATTTTAAAAGCGTCTGATGTGCAGTGCTTGGCTTTTGTAGAAGATGAGACAGCATGAAGCCATTACACTGATATGGGCCGATTTCACCTCCACCACTGTTCCTAGGGAAACGTCCTTGGAGCATTTCAGCCTCCCAGAGACCCAATAGAGCAACCACACTTAACTGTGCCTATGAAAGACACATAGAGGTGATGCAGAGAAGCAGGAACAGTGGAGAAATTCTGACTCATACTGAATCTGACAGCTATTAAGTCAACACACCTATTTTGTGACCATCTTCAGGATTGTGTTTGGGGGTTTTGTTCCCCCGAAAGCCTGTTGCCACCTTTTTTCAAGCTACCTTTTGCCCTTCTATATTTACATTGCCCTTTAAGAAATCAGCAGATAGTTTCCTTTCTTGCTAGTCTTTAAACTACTTCCCCAACTGCCAAATGATGAACAGGGAAAGTGGCACAGATTTATCCCCATTACTGATATTCTTGAAGTAAATGCAGGGGGTTGTTTTTCCCACTGCAACTACAATTTTCTTGTACGTATTCACACACATGCGTCATTTAATAAAGGCAGCTGGCACTGAGGAACACTGCCAAATTAACAGACTTCTAGTTGTCCCCAGAACAGGTATAATACCTTGTTTGTGCCATGGTGGTTCATAGAGGGGACAGCTGACACTGAGGTGCCATTGTGCTAGCTGCTGTACAGACAGAGGTCCTCTCTTCGTTACAAAAGCTAAGGCTCCAATTCTAACTTGAGAGGTACTGACCTTAGTCTGTGGTTCATTCCCAGATAAAAACCTTTCATTTGGACATGGCAGGGTTTTCAGTGGTGTTTAACAGCTCTGTGTGGGAAATCTATCAGCTGCAGTTTGTGCTATGTAAATGTCAATACACAGCATGGTGCTGCTTCCAAAAAAAAAAAAGGCAATGACATCTAGCACATGCAGGTCAAAGAGCTACTGCACAATGTCACTGGCTGGAGATGCTTAACATAGGAGTTGGATTTGAGTCAATGATTGACATTTTGAAGGTCTTTGTGTCTACCGATCCTGGGCTTCCAAAATATTCACTCCTCCCTGTACAAGTGCAATTTTCCTAGCCCCTAGTTTCACATAGACAACTCTCCTCTGCTAAGTCCTCCCCAGTCCCACAGGCAGCCCAAGACTAATCCCCTGTGAGTTGCCTTGAACACTTCTCTAGAAGCTTTGTTCATAGCACCTGCAAGAGAAGAGAAATCTCTTTCAAACAAGAAGATACTGAGTCTGTGGGTTTGGTCCCATAGTATATCCCAAATAAATTAAAGTGGTAGGACAATATGAAAGGCTTAATGGAAAAAAGGGGCTCCCACTTGCTAAGTCTTGCTAATCATCCTCCTGATGCTAGCCATGGAAAAGTAAGCACCCACTCTAACCAACTACAATTTTTACGAGCAACATATCAAGTGCTTTTCAGAATCAAGGCAAATGAAGGAGACAGTTCTTGAGCCACTCTTCCCGACACCCGTCTTTTCTTTCAGAAGAAGAATATTCCAGTAGCACGTTTCTCTCAGTCAGATTTGGTTTCTCCCATTATTCCCACTGGTGTCATTATATCCTTGTTCTAGACAATACCCTCAGAAATTAGCCTGTGATGTATATTATGAAAATACTCTAACTGTAAAAAAGCCTTAAAATTCAGCAGCTGTGCATTTTGTGCATGAATGAAGTAAACAGATGATAAGACTCGGAAGTCACATTGCCTCTGATGTCCCATGACCTGCACTGTCTTTCAGAAGTCCTCTCATCTCTGATTTTGTGGGTTACATACATGCAAATACTCTCCTCCTTGGTCTTCACATTTTTCGCTCAGAGACATCATCATTTTCCTCCCATTTGTCATTTAGCAACGTCTTCTATTTTAGTATTGTTACATTCTCCTTTTATTAGTAAATCCTTCCATAAATTATATCCTGGTTGTGCGAACTGAAGTCTCCTAAGCTCCTCTGTAGGAGACCCTAACTCCATGTTCCCTAACAGAGAACCATCGTTCATAACAGACTAACCATTAATCTTGTAGAGTTGAAATTTCACACATGAAACTCCTTGCCATAATACACCATGTAGGCAAAGATTAATGGAAGATCAAAGAAAGAATTATCTGTCTGTACGGATACAAGAAATTCCAGAAACTATAGAGATATAGGGAATCAAAGACTAATGCTCTGACTAGTTGGAGATAAATGCTCTCTCCCTTGACTCTTCCCAGGCTTTAAGAGTAGTAACACTTTCCCCTCTTCAAAAGCATTCCACTAAACACAGCAGTATTGTGTTCAGACCTCCAGCCTTCCTTGCACAGTCTTACATTAGCCACAGATTTACTTTTGTCCAAGGCAGCACAGACTTTTTTTTCTACAAACTCAGAATTGTGGCACTGCTGTAGCAGAAAACTTGATCTCCATGTCAGAGATCCCACTAGATCATGGCCTCATTCACAGCATACAAATCACAGAACTGTTTAGGTTGGAAGACACCTCTTAGTATCATCTAGTCCAAGCTCCTGCTCAAGCCGAGTCAACTAGAACAGGTTGCCCAGGACGGTGCCCAGTACACTCTGTACCTTAATGTGCAAAATTAAAGAGAAGAAAATCTCCAATTCACATCAATGTGTCAATGTTTACAAGCCATGGCACAAAACAAGCCAGAAAACAAAGGATGGATGCCTATCAGCCCTCCAGTCCTTCTTCAGGAAATGCATCAGATCTGATGTTCAAAGACAGCAGTCTCCTGTTGATGAGGATCTCAGTCTTACACCTGGGTCCTTCAGCTCCAGCACCAGACATGCCTTCTGTCAGGCTAAGGACTCCTACCGTGCCAGATGGAAACATGAACAAACTGCCCCATGCATTTGATTTTGCATCAATCTCCAGTAAGGAAAGACAGGTTTGTGTAGAATAACCAGATGGTATTTAAGGAGAACCAAGTGTAAAGCTTATATCTTTGAGGGAGATTTAACATGAAAGACAAACTAGCAGATATAAGAAAAAGCCAGAAACAGAAAAATCTTTGTCTTTGTCACACTGCTGCTTGTCAACTTAGTAATGATAACTAGCTGCAGCCAGAATTGCTCAGGTCCTTAAGGGTCCCATCACTCTTTGAGTCTAAAGTCCCAAAATACACCAGACAATAAAAGACCCGCACCCTGTTAAAGTGGAGTTCCTCTTGGTTTTGCTTATAGAAGAGCAATTAATGTGCTATCATATCATCCAAAGTAATTACATTAAGAATCATCTGGGAGCTTACAAAAGGAAAGGGAATCTCGTTTCTAAGGCAGAACAAATCTCTGCCAACAGGCTTCACTTAACGGCTATATTGTCCTAAAAAATTAAAACACCTACAGGGTGGTTTGCTGCAGTGGAGGGCGTGTGCATGAGGAGCACATAAGACAAAGATACAACCGACCACAGACAATCCCTCGTTCCCAGCTAGAATCAAGAATGCAGACAGGCTGGAGGGCATCATACCAATCTCCCTTTGGGAGGGAGGGAGCGAGTTTACGTCCAGGGAGGTGGCTTCCCCAGCAGAGGCCAATGCTGCTGCATGCATATAAGGCTGCTTTCAACACAGGCTCATTGACTCAAGCCCTGGCACTTCAGGGAACATCTGCAAGTAAAGCCCCTTCCAAGTGCCCTGGAAAGAGACTTTGCCGAGTTGGTCTCCCTCACCGGTGTCTGGCACAAAAGCAGAAATGGCTGATGAGCTCACCAATGACTCCTGCTATCTCTGCTATGGGGAACTGTTTTC